ACTCTTCCATGGTAGCCATTATCCTTCCGAGAAATGCAGTTTTTGAGACATTATATCATCTATTTAACACAAAATTTGATGTGAAACCGTTTTACCTTTAACTTTAGCAAAAGTACATTATTACTAAAATTGAAAGCAGAAGACATAATCTATAATTTTTATGACATGGTCCCCAAAGTCAATCAGAGTAAAATTCTAGTAGTTTTGTTTTCATTTATTTGATGTTCAAAGGGGAAATTAAGAGGCTTGTTGCTTCCTTATGAAATCCCTATTTAAGCAAGATCTAATAAGGCAAAAATAGTCTTATCTCTATATTTTAGTTGAAATATCTTTTATTGCCTGTCTACGTCATTTTGCTCAAGACTCTGGTTTCATGTTGTCTAATTAGGACAAAAGCTGGAGCATCATTGATGTTTCAAAAAAAAATCTAGGTATGTTAATGATGAAGACAAAATATATGTATATTTTCAGACTCAATTTTGGCTTCTGGTTGCCACAAGACTGGGTATCCATTGTCCTCACAATTTCTCCTATCTCCACATGGTTGGGAGCTCCAGTGTCCTTCCTAGCTGAAAGCAAATACTGGATTCTGCTTTGTTCACAGAACATTGACTGTCAAGTCCTTTGTCTTAATGATTCTGCTTTAGGGGACTGTCAGTTAATCTCTGGAGGGACCATTATGACAAATTTCTGTAATTAGATTATGATGCAAAGGTTTGTTTAGCTACAATATTAAAAAAAATATAATTATGATTTTGGGGAGTGCGACCTCAATCTTTCCATCTTGTACATTCAACTTCCCTTTCAATGCTGGCTGTCTTTAATTTCCCCTATTGCATTCATTTTCTTTTTAAACTTTCTGAGTATAATTAAAACTAGCCTACCTTTGAGAGCCCTGAGTCCTCACATAGCAGAATAAATGAAATATGGACACAAAGACTGAGCATATAAATCACTTCTAAAAAGAAAAATGCCTTTTACATTGAGCTTTTGATTTTCTTTAATTTTTTTTCTTTCTACAACTTGATGGCTATTTTTTCTCTCTAGTCCAGTGATCTTGTTATTAAAGCATTCTTGTAATGGTAACACAGCAAGCATGCTTCACATTTATTAACTAAATTCAACTACATTGAAATACCAAATACTCTAAGGCTGGTGTTAAAAAAAAAAAACAACACTTTTCAAATGATCCTTCTTTATACTAGCAAAACACCTTGGGGTGTGGAGGGGCCAGAGGGTTTCTTAGTTGTCTTGGGTGACATTTAGGAATTGTGAACAAGGGGTAGAAATGGCTTTGCCTCTTTTGTAACAAATATTCATAAATATAATAAGGATGCCACTCTGAGTGCAGATTCTCATAAATCAATGACATTAAAACATGTGCAGAACAATTTATATGAGAAAGTGGTATGATTAATACAATAGAGTCAACCCTTGACCTAGAGAAAAGGTTATAAGGATGAGGCAGGAAAGAAATGCACGGACAACTGATTTAAACCCATAAACACCCTGAGACTCATTGGAGTGTGTTGAACAAAGTAATGTTCTTTTAAGTTGCTAACATCCTTGAAAATAATGTAACATACAATCACTTTTGTGACATAGTTAAGTTTTTAAAAACAGCTATGACTCCCTGTTATAAATACACAAAATAGAATCAAGGCATTTTATTATTATCTAACCTTACTTCCTCATTATGTAGAGATGGGTACTGAGACCAGGGGACTCTTTGGGCACTCGCTCAAGGCTGAATGACATGAAAATATCAGCTTATACTGAATTCAGGATAGAAAAATGATACAGCTTTACATTTTTTGGTGCTATTAAGAAAAAAATTAGGTATAACTCTATGCTATTTACAAAAATTATATAATTTAGCCTGAAGCTTAAGCAAGATCACAGCGGGGTGCTTCTGTTTTACTTGGATTTTGGGTAAAATAGGATATTCAGTGTGTCTTAAGTTCATTTTAGGACTTATTTTTTGTCAAATTTGAAGTTAATTTCTATTTCTTTTTTCTCTCTAGCCCCAAGATAAATCAAACCTTCAACTGATGTGTTTCCTCCCCATGCCAGACAGGTAACTGTGCCTTACAGAATTAACAATATCTTTCAAATAAATTGCAAATTTAATTTTTTTGTTTTAATTGTCAGAAATTGTTTAATATCTTAATTTCTTTGAGGGGCAGCCCTTTTAGCTCTTTTGAGATACGTATTATTTAAATAGAAATGTTTTACACCACTCTTTATACATTTGACTAAGTAGACTTGGGGGTAAAAAGTGATGGTTATTTTTTGAAGTGGTTATAATATACAGAGGGAAAGAGTGATTTTTCAAAAGGATGCCTAGCATAAATAAAGTCTGAAGAAACTGGTACCTTTTGTTCTTTTTCTGGGAAGATCATTGTCATTGTGCATTGTAGAGTACTGGAGGAGTTGAAACAGAAGAACATATGAAAATCATGTTCTTGCCTTTTGTTTTTAAAGCAAGCAACAGGAAGTCAAGTGAAGGTGCCATCTTTGTGCCCCTCCCCATTAATATTATGTCATTAAAATTGAAGCAATTTTACAGAAGCTTTTATGGGCTCTTTTGTGTTACTCAGGGGCTCCAGATATTTTTTCTGATTAAGGAAATTACTTCTACGATGACATAAAAAGTGATACACTTGTTTTATATCCCAGGTCAAATAGCTGGTAGGATCCTGTAAGAGTAAATACCAGGACAGGAATTCTCAGGTCATTAACATAAAAAGGCTCCTTGGCACCCCACCTGTCATAGAACAAAGTGTCTGACCATTTCTCATGGCTAGGTTCCTGTGGTGCTTTTCTTAAATAATCAGTCCCATTCAGGCAGAGATTTTTAAGGTCCCTGATCTATTTCACAAGCAGTATTTTTTTTTAGCAGCTGAATGGCTGCGTAAGGCAGAATGCTTTTGAAGAAAGTTTAGAAAAAAGCTTGGTATATCCCCAAGCTGTCTTTCTTCATCCATGTTTCCTAAAGGCTAGAGAAAAGTCCACCTATAACAGCAGTGTCCTTGGGCACTCAGGTGATCATCTATTCCTGCTCTGTACTACCTGGGAGTACCTGGGAGCTGGTGTACAAGTGGCCTTTGTATTTAGAATAGCCTTCTGAGTCTTAGAGAGGGAAACTGGACAGAACCTTGTCCGCATTTTTACCCTTCAGCACTAGATATAGATGTTTTCAGACTTTGATTTTTCTTCTTTAAACTCTACAGAATGTCAAAATTCTAGTAAGTGAAAAGATCCAACTCAACATTGGAATCAGACAATGTACCCATTGTGTATTATCTTTAGAGGGTTTTTCAGAGTCCTTATTAGAAGGCATGCTTCACTCTCTTACTCTGTCCCCAATGAATCCCAATGATCACAGTGGCAGGGTACAATTTTTGAAATGAGGAGAACTTTCTCCTTAAAGAGCTGTTTCTAGTGGGAAAATATTACAGGCCTCAAAGCACAGGAACCTCTGTCCTGAGAGGGTATCTAATTTGCAGCCTTTTGGAGAGATCTGATTCTCAGTGGTTACCCTCTTGCCTCTATTCAGGAGGAGGGGACTTCTGTTGATTGTCATTGCTATGTTCGGGGGTAGCCTGTGCTCTCTAGGAGAATTCAGCCTGTGCTTACCATGTCTAAAGGGCATATTGAGCCTGGGTCACATGGAGAGGAACAGAATCCACAGAGCCTGGGGTGTCTGAGAGCCACACTTGGGGGAAAGAAACTCCAAAGCTCAGTAAAAAAAAACCCACAAATCTATTTTGATGCTATGAACTCAGGCTCCTGAGGTAAATTTTGACCCACTTCCTGCAGGTTAATATCAAAACATTGTCCTGCAGAGTGTGTGTGTGTGTGTGTGTGTGTGTGTGTGTGTGTGTGTGTGTGTGTGTGTGACTCAATGCCAGGTTCTGACCAAGGGAAAGAGAAGTAACCCACAAGAATACAGGAGAGAAAGGCCTTTATTGATGCTCTCCCCTTTGGCCTACATGTGGACATGTAGAAGGAAGACCTGGTCTCAGTCTTCCTGGAATTGATACCAAGCTTGAAGGTCTGAGAGGATGGAGGCCAACAAGAAAAGAACAGGACTTGAGGTTTGAGGGGGAATGGTGAGGCCCTGGCAAAAGCATGGGGATACAGAGAATGAGTGTGGAAAAATTTGAAACATAACTAAAAAGATGCTGGGGGACAGGGAAGAGAGGGGAGGGAGGAAGGGAGGAAGAGAGGCGGAAAGGGAGAAAGAGGGGAGAGACAGAATATAGAAGACTAGCCCTCTTCTTGCTTTGCCCAGCTGGCACAGAAGAGTCTATAGAGTCCAAGGTCGCACAGTCCTCTCAGCTGCCTCGCTCGCTGAATGGCTGGCGGTCCGCAGCATCCCCGCCTCTGGCCACCGCAGCCACAGGTTTACCGTTCCGGGCAGCAGCGCCCCTCCTGAAGCCAGCTGGGGCTCCCTACACTCTTCTGCACCCACCGCTGCCCTACCGCACCTCCCTGCCTCAGTTCTCACCACTCCCCTGGAGGCTGCTCTCCTCCCTATGACTCCCTCCCCCGAGGGGGCGCTTTGGCCACCCGAGAAGCGGCAGGAAGAGTCGTTTCTCCCTAAGGGCCAGGAGGCCCGCAGAGAGCCTGAGAGCGGGATCTATTTACATGGGGTATTAATTAGTCTTTGAGGAACCGTTCACCCACGTGCCAATGTAATTGTCGGTGGCCGGACTGTAGGCACCACCAGCCGCCAGCCGCCGCCGGGAGGAGAAACCCCGCTCACCGAGGCGCGCTGAAACCGCGCTCTGCGGAGCGTCCCCCGGTGGCCGGGCAGGACCGCGGACAGCGCCCACGACGCCAGTCCCTTGTGGGCTGCGGGGCTTTCCGGCTTTGCTGGTAATGCTGCAGCTGCTTCCAGTGCTAGCAGCTTCCAAATTCTCGCCACCACACCCCTCCTTCTGAAACTGGGACTCATCGCGCCTGTTGTGTGGCTTTTTTTTTTTTTCTTCCGAAAGGCCCGCGTCTTATCGCTCAAGTTCAAGTCCGGAGGACTTGCTCAGTCTCCTCCCCTTAAGTCATTCTCCATCCTCTGGCAACCGCTGAAAGCCAGGAGTCCTGGGCTGCGGGTGTCAGTGCCAGCACAGGCAGTCCGGGTCGCTCGGGTGCAGCAGCCCGGCGCATTCGTCTCTCTCCCTCCCTTTCTCTCTTCCTCTGTCGTCTTCTCTACCTGCCCCTCCTTCTCTTGCCTCTTAAGTTTCCTGCACCGGGAACCCAACTGGGCCAAGCCTAAGCTCCCGCGGACCAATCCGGATCGCGACCCCAGCACTGGGACAACGACTCCGCCAAGGCTGGACGAGGCAGCTGGACCCGTCCTCGCCCGAGCATGGAGACGGAGCTCCGGGGAGGGCACGTCCCGGGCGCTGGAGAAGCCAGGCCGTAGTAGCTCCTCCATGGAGCCTGTTCAGAGCGGTCCTTGCTCGCTGCATTTGCCTCCAGTCCTGTGCGGTAAGTACCGGTCGCCTCCACTGTTCCTGGCAGGGACACCTTGGGACAGGGTGGTAATCACTAGGAAAGGGTAGGTGGTGTAACTCTAGTTGGGCATAGAGCACGTCTGATAGGTGACCCTCAGAGTCCCATGCAGGTTTCCACTGTGGAAGTTAGTAACTGGCTGTGCTCCTTGCCTCCAAAAAGTAGTGCTAGAGATGTGACTATGTGTGTCTATCTCTGTGTTATAGGGGGCTCGAGTGGGTAAACTGAGCCCCGCTTTTCTGTATGCAAATTGCATCCCCTTCCCCCACCCCCACTTCACCGGCACCTAATCCGGGTCAGTTCTACCTACCGGTTTCTCTGCCCGCGTCCCCCTCACTCAGTCTCTTGCTCGCTCGCTTTTGCCATCTCTCTCTGCTGCTGTGTACGTGTATGAACCCTGCCAGGGCTGGCGAAGAACCAGCCGCCGCCTTTAGTCCCAGCCTCCCGCCAGTCAAACACTAGGGCAGGTCTGGCAGCTTGAGACACTTGGGCTCCTAACCAGCCTGTGAGCAGCTCTCTGTGTGCCTAACCTCCTTCGGCCTCAGCGGTTCGGGAACTGGCACCCGAGACGCGCCGGGAGCTGGGAGACCCCGCCACCGCTCAAGCCCGCCCGCCCGCCCGCCCGCCCGCCTGCGGACCGCACTTGTTTCTGGAGCTGGATTGACTCGCTTTTCAAATCTCCGTGACCCCCCTCCCCGCCTCCCAGTTTTTGGCTCCATCACTCCACACCAAGACCCTCTTCCCCCGTTTGATCGTCAGCCTTGTCCGCGTGGTCATGGGATGTCTAATTTCATTTGTATCTAGGCTGCTGAGAGCGCTCCCCGATCTGTAAAGTGGATGTCAGGTGGATCTATGTTTTTGAAGGAACAAAGACTCAACCAAGGCACCGCCAAGGAAGTTTGAGAGGAGGGAGGATGCAGGCTGCGTGCTGGTACGTGCTTCTCCTCCTGCAGCCCGCCGTCTACTTGGTAAGTCGTGAGCGGTCCAGTGTCTTTGAGATTCCACCTTAACCCGGAGGCCAAGCGCCTGGGGCGGGGGTGGGGTGGGGTGGGGGGACCGAGGAGGGCGAGGCCGCCAGTTCTGTGAGAGCTGTGCTCCCAGAGACAGTGGAAGAACTTTGGGAAGCCGTTCTTTGGATTCCTGTGGGAGTTTTCGGGGCTCTCGTCCCCATTTCTTGCTTTATCTCCCCATCTCCTGATGGTGATTTTCTAGCCGTACCCTACACGTCCAGAAATCAAAGAGACAGTGGGACAGGATGCCTTGGTTCCGAGGGTGGAGAAAAGTAATGAGGAGCGGGAAACTCTTGGCAGCAGCTCTTAAACCACCTAGTTTAAATGAAAGGAGGTGGAGGTGGGGTTGAAAATCTGAGCAGGAATCTACTCACCGCCGCCACCTCCCCAGTTCGGATTTGCGGTACGTGAAGAAGTGCAGTTAACTTCCTGAGACTTGCAGACTTGCAGCTGGTGTCGGTTCATCCACCAGACACACAGTCAAGGACCGACCGGTTAGGTCAGAGATACACCTGCAAACCCATGCCCTCCCTCTCCTTCCAAGCTCTAGTTTCTCTCAAATAACTGAACCTCCGTCTTAATGTGGGGTTTCCTTTTAGGAAATGTCAGGCCTTTTCACTAGGGAGAGAATCTCAGCCACAGCCTCTGTCCGGGTTCCCCCAGAAACAGTTTTCGGAGGTTTGGACCCGACAGTCTGAGAACAGGCGCAGGGCGGATCGCTTTGTGTGACTTGGGAGTTACGGGTATCACAGCGAGCCTAGGGGAGTGTGATTTCTCGGGTCTGATTTCTCAGCGGGCCAGGGACACTTGCATTCTGCCGGCGAAGTTGTGCCTAGTGCACCGAATCCCAGAGTTGATCCCGGGCCGCGGGAGTGCACCAAGATCTCAAGGTGTTCTGTGGAGGAGGGTCGCGGAGCGCAGGCGCTGCAGTAGCAGCAGGAGTTTTCTTACCCGGCTGGATAAATGGACTAGGTGTGCTGTTAGTGTCTTTTATTCCCAAGAGCTTCAGAATCCGCAAGCCTGGGAGCGATAGTGTACGATCCCTGCAAATGGCCGTGTTTTTTTGGCCTTTGCTTGGCCTGCGATCGCAGGACTTGAGAGTTCTGCGAATCCGGTACATATTTGCGCGCGCGCAAGTGTGTGTGTGTGTGTGTGTGTGTGTGTGTGTGTGTGTGTGTGTGTGTGTGTGTGTGTGTGTGTGTGTGTGTGTGTGTGTGTGCGTGTGTGTGTGTGTGTGTGTGTGTGTGTGTGTGTGTGTGTGTGTATTTACCGGGTTCGGTTTCCGGCTGCATCTCAAGAACCCTCTGTGTTGCCAGTCTCTGCACCTTTCTCGCAAGACTGTAGCAGAAGCGGACGCCAGAGGGCGCTGCGCATCAATGTCCTCGCCCACAGGACACCTTGGGGGTAAACAGGTGAAAGCAGGGCCAGCCAATCCAAGAGGACAGCTTTTCTGACTGTCGCGGGTCCGTGCTTTCCCCAGTAGACCGCAGACCGAATGCACAGTGTCCTTCCTATTGCCCACCTTTCGTCATTATCGCTCCCACCTGTGTCCAGTAAGTCCACTGACATTGACGACCCGGAGTTGGAGGGCAAAAAGTTCCACCAAAGGACACACAGCGTTTTTTACTGGGTGAGGTGGGAGGGAGTGAAGAGTGAAAGGCGAAAGCCTCAGGGGAGGGACACCAATGACTCTCTTGATCGTCACAAGCGTGCCCGTCCTCTCCGCACACCTTCAGGAATGATTTGAAGCTCAGGACGACTGTCGCTGCCTTCTTCCCTGGCCTGTGCCCACACACACACAAGGCCAGGGCTCTCGGCTATGGTGCAGTTTATTGCTTGAAGCAAGTATTTCGATAGTCTGAAAAATAATCTATCAAAAGCAGAAGTGAAATCAATACGTTGTGTTAAATTTTAAATGTGTGTGTTGGCAGTTAAAGCGTTTTCCACTCATTACAACAACAGTGCTGGATTTATTCTAATGCGCCGCGTTCTCAACAACAAGCGCATTAATTCTCCTTTAATTGTAAACTGGGAGCATTTGAAAACCATTCAGTGTGCAAATTATGCTGATTCAATTACCGTTTAGTTACAGACTTCATTACCTGAATGCCTTTTGGCAATACAGAGAAAGGAGACAATTTTTCCAATTTCACTCAAAACAATACGAAATGTGAACAATAAAACAGAGAAGGCGATTTAGGAGTCCATTCTTTTCTCTCCAATCTAAAGTTGTTTTGTGTGTCGGGGATTAGAAACCACACACACCACAAAAACAAAAGGCTGGTGGCTGTGACCCAAGACAGTATTCCAGGGATTGCAACCCCAAAGGTATTTGCCAGGAAAATTCCAGGCTGTTTTCCTGGAGGTGGAAGCTGACTTTCACCATAAAAATGGACTCCAAAGGATGAATTGGGCAGTTAATGTTAGGGTGGTTTTAGGTAAATGAAGTAGGGACTCTTGATTAAAACTCTGTAGCAATGAACAGATGAAAACACGATAAAGCTCCTTTTCATTAGTTTCATTAAACATCAGCTACAGCAAGGGAACCAAGCGTTTATTCGTGACTGTACCCCAGAACATTTCAGCCCTTTGCAAAATCCTGCAACAGATGCACACAGGTTATCAGCTAAACTCCAAGAAGTCGAGGTAGAAAAAAAAACAAAGAAAGAAAAAAACCAAAAAAAAAATCATTTTATTTTTCCCTTGACCAGTCACAAGCCAGGGAGGAGTTAGTAATAATTTGCTCTTGTGGACTGCACCTACAGTTAACTGACTAGAGAGCACTTTGGGGCTTGCCTCCCAGCTAACATTTTCAGTACATCTTTCCTTCATGGGTGTGGGATCTCAGCCATGTTTCTCAAGGAGTATTTCCCACAGTTTGAGCCAGGCTTTTTTAGATAACACCTATACAGAAATAGTTTAGATAACTGCTTATAGAACATGAATTTAAGTGTTTCTGAGTTTTGAGAATCATTCTTATGAAGATGTCTCTGTCTGGCAGATCATATACCGCAATCAGCATGTGAGTGAATGCTTGAAAAGTGTATTTCTTGGCCCAGAGGTCTCTGAATGCCTGTCCTAAGTTGAAGGTTTTTATTTACTGTGTGTTTGTTGAGAGACAGGTCTGTCGTGTTTCACACCGGAAGTTCATTTTTGTATTGCAATAGGAAACTGATTTCAGGCATGTCTGTAGCTCTACCTTCTGAAACCCATTATCTTGAATTCTCAAGTTTCACCACCAGGCAAACTCCAATGCAAAAAACACAACAACAACAAACAAACAAAAAAAAGCAGGAAGCCATCTTTTAAAAATAAATGTAAGGAAAATTGCTGATTACTAAATGTTGTGCATTTCAGATTTAAACACCTGACCAACAGGAGGAAATCTATGGTGTAACTTGTTATTTTTATTAAAGTCCTGCAGGTTTTATTTTCTATCAGTTCTGGATTGATTCCAGGATATGCTGAATATGAGATAACCAGACTATAGCATTTAAGCTGAATTAAAGTGCACATGGGGTAAAGTAGACAAATATGGCTTCTTGTTTTAAAAGGAGGGAGTAGGGGTTATAAACCGATTTATTCCCATGGATTGAGTTTAAGACCATACCAGGGAACAGCGACAGGTTCTCCCAGGAAAGAATGTGACACTTTCTTTATTTGGGGTAATTCTCAAATAGTAAAATGAGTCCGACAGCATTCCTGAGCATGCAAAAGTTACTCAGAATTCGAGTCCAGAGAACCTGACAAAGAATGGATGCTGTTATTGCAATCATTTGTATGTTAACAACACCATCCTTATGAAGAGGCCCTGTCAGTTTTGCTAGGAATTACAATACCTAGTAACTTGGTTACTTTCTCAGCCAAAATAGGCAAGAATTAGAAAACATTTCCAAACCTTTGACGCAACATTTGAGTTATCTGTTTGCACAAATTTAGGTGTTGTGTGTGTGTGTGTGTGTGTGTGTGTGTGTGTGTGATGTGACTTCTACATTAGTTATTTAACTGAATTTAAAAAGGATTGACTGTATTCACAATGCCTCTACTTCTGAATTGTTAGCAGGCAAATCATTAGGTGAATTTAACTCAACATGAAGGTGACTGTTAGGGGCTATGAAGGCCAAAGGGAAAGCAGGAGAGCAGGCACCCAGATCTGGTCTAGTCTAGGCCTGTGTACTTCCTGTCCTTTGGAGAATAAGGTAGCTGCTCCCCGAAAGCCTTCATCAATTTGCAATTACTTTATGTAGTAGATAACAATAGCTATCCAGTCATGACTAAAGTGTTTTCTGTTAAAGCTTGTTCTTGGAGGCAGCATGGACAATTCCTCCTTAGGCCAAATTTCCTCTCCTTTCTGCCCCAGAGGACCCTGGCAGACACAGGATCAAGCTCAGATAATTTAAGGAGCCTCAGCAGCGTAGCAAGAGGTCCTCTCAGTCCCAAAGTGCGGCCCAGGCCTGTGCAGGACACAGAGAGGCCCGAGCTGGTGCTTTGACAACAACAGGCTCAGTCCTGCCTTGGCCTGGAAAGCAGCTCTTGGAGGTGTAAGAAGCACTTGGGTGGGTCACCCTTCTGTCCCATTTACAGAAGTCTTGTGGCCTTGGGCCTTGTAGTGAGAGCTTCCAAGACACTGCCTTCCACATTGGGCACAGGAGGGAGAGAAAAACCAGGATTTCACCAACTCTGTCAGTGGTATGTTCCCAGAAAGCTATTAAATTTGTGGCTCCTTTTGTGTGAGGCTGATTTCTATTTGGCTTTGAATTGTTGAGGGCTATTTCCCCCTTAATGAAAGTGTTGTCTGGGTGAAAACTATATCCGGTGGAAGGGAAATTGGTTGATTTTTTTAAGATAGGTGCCCAATGTCCTACTTTTCTATCCGAGGGAAGATTTTCTGCAGACTACAAAAATTGACAGCATTGTCCAGGTAATAACCACCGTCGACAATATTTTCAAAAGGGCAT